CCCGTTTGTAAATTCAATTCCCGCTTTTATCATTCAATTATTGTAACTCGAAAAAATGTTTGTCTGTTTCTCTTTTAAATTTTTGACAAGGGTGTTAACCAAAAAGTAAAACCAACTTTTTGTGATATGATCAACAAATCCTTGGCACAATATACAAAAGTTTAAAAATTGTCAGTAAAGTTGACCAGGAAAAATTTGTTGCAAATTAGGAACAATTTAAATTATAAATCAACAGAAATTAAATATGAGAAACAACAAAATAAATTTGCATTATAATTTTTAAGCCCAATAAAAATGTTTCCTCATTAAATTTTTTAGGTAATTCGATTAAATTTAAATTACCACATAGCATCTCTAACGTTGACAGAACTTTCAATTTATTAAAACATTTTTATTTTTTTCAAAATGTACATGCAATTATTAAATATGTTCAATTTTTAAATTGAATTTTGAAAGTCAGAATATTGAAAATTTTAATAAAATACTTTTAAAAAAGTTTTATGATTTATAATATTGATAATTCATCGCCGTTTTCACTAATTAACAGCCAATTTTATGTTCGTTGCGTGCATTTGTTTAACTTTAATTGCATTTATTTGATTGCCTGAAACTTTTGTACATAAAACATGTGTATTTATTAAATACTGTGAAATATTGTTTAATTACTATTAAGATGAGATTTTTAATGAACATAGCATTGTTTGGCGCAGTAACGGGCAATCACTGGCCTGAAGTGGATGCGAACCGGTTGACATTGATTTTTTTATTTTGTTCCTTTATTTTATTTATTTATTATTTGATATTGTAACGTATTTTAACTTAGAAAAAAATCTGCTCTAACACCCTTCCCTGTTGAAAATTATATTTGACTGGTCAATACATTTATTATATTTTAATATTTTTCGCTACGATTCTACTAGATTTATCATAAATCAAAAGATGTGGGGAATTGACATTCACGCGGCACCTTGTTTTTATACGACCCAATACACAAACATGGCTCTTTAAACATCGGTGATTTAGAGATTTTAAATTTTTTTATAATTTCGTTAATATTAATTATTTGGCGGAAGAAAATTTGCAGATTTATTATTTATTAGTATTCTCTGAAATCAAGTTATTCAAACCCTTTTGTTTTCCCTTTAAATATAGTAACGAATAAATAATAGAATTATAAAAGGTCGTAAAATAATTAAATTTCTTAATAACGGGAGAATTTCAAAAATGATCATTAAATATATGTTCTTCATTAAAATATTTTAAAAAAATAAAATTCACACAACAATGGACCGCTTTAATTAAATTTTAAAATAAATAAATTTTGGGCTTGAAGGTCATTTGCCTTAATTAAATTTGAATATGTTAACAGAATTGGCAAAATAAAAAACAGTTTTTGAATTTATGTTATCCCTTTATTCAAAAGAAGGAACGTGTTATGTGAATCTGGGGCCAAGCATGATCAAAATAAACCTTCAATAAAATCAAAACTAATTAAATGGAAAAATTTTCATTCAAACATAAATAGAAAGAAACCTTTTTATATTTTGGAGGTGCCTGAAATTTTAATGAGAACCGGCAGACAGAAAAATTATTACGAAGCTTTGTGCGCATTAAAAGTAATAAAGAAATAAGGAAATAAGTTTATTACGGCCATTGTTATGACAGAAGTGCCCAAATAACAATATAACTTTAATTCGAAAATGTATTGTTTAATTTAAGGATCATCGGAAGTTTAATTAGAAAAGTTTTACTCAAACTTTTCGAAAGTTTGGAAAAACCCTATTATAATAATTTTGAAATCTAAGATGGGCAAAATAGCCGGATTCTTACATTACTTGATAACGGAAAATGTTAAATTGACTAATTTTATGAGATGACCCAAAATTATGTTTAACTTAATGCTCCCAAAATTTTAAGAAGAACTTATCATAAAACGTTACAAACGGTAACCCTTTAAAAAGAATTTGGGAGTGAACAACAAATTAAAATATGTTATTTCATTTTACAATTATTTTCCATTTAGAACCAAAAACAAACGAACAATTTTGTTATGTTATTCCCAATTCTTTAATCTGTTGTTTAAGAATTAGTAAAAAACCATTATATCGTATTTTTTCTAAATATTAGCATAAATGCTTTTAATTAATTTATTATATGTTAACGGGTTATAAATATGGTCCATAGTCACGCTATAGGGTAAAATTTAAAATGAGATTCTTTTATATAATGTTGACAAATTTTTTTGGTTTTTGGAAAAAATAGTCATTTCTTTTGACATGGAACTGTAGATGGAACAAAAAATTTTACTTTTAATGGAAACAAGAATTTTGCAAATTTAATGACCCTTAAACCAATAGTAGGTACCGAAAATTAGTAACACATATTAACATGCTCATTTGTGAATAACGTTTATTAAACGGAATTGGGGGAAATTTTCCCCAACTGGCTCGTCATAATTTTATTTGTCGTCAGACTCGTCACTAGATTATTTTGTTTACAAAAAACATGTTAATACACAATTATAATAAGTGATAAAATTTTGCACCATCGTTCCTTTATTTTCGATTAAAGGCCCCTTCAACCCGTTCGATGAAAAAATAACAAAAAAAGGTGTTATTTAAATGATTCGATTGAAAGATCATTTAGATTATATTATTGAATTTTCCGTATTTAAACGTTATTTGGGAATAGTAATTTGCTTAATTCTCTTTGATAATGAACAAATGTCTGATTTTCCATTTTATTTCCGATGGCAGTCCATAGTTCCTTTTTAATAATGGTAATACCGTTCATATCCAAAGCAACAGGTATTTAGGTAGGGCCGCATTTTTTAAGATCTTTGTTTACTATTAATAACTAAAATGACTGGATTTAGGTTTTCCCCTTTGGCAATGAAAATTCTTATAAAGTTTACGTAAAAAAAAACCGCAATAAAAAAAATCAGTTTGAACTTACCCGCAAAAACAGTATAAGTTTTTGGATAGGGGATAAACAGCGATGTTACTACTGATACAATTCCTATGATGATTTCCCGTTTTTTAAAGGATTTTTATGGATTCAAACACATTTTTATCAAATTGAAAATTCAATAGAACAATATCTATCCTTAATAACTTTCAAGAATTTAAATCTTTCCATTACATGTAATTGCTAACCATTTCGGGCAATTTAACGTTTTAAAGTTCATAATTCACCAATAAATAATTTGTAAACGAATATTTTACTCAAAGCATTTACTTTGGGATATTCAGATTTATTCAATAGATATTTGATCGGTCACTGTTCCGGCAAATTTGGGTCTCAAGGTTATATTGTCATACTTAGAAAGACCAAAAAATCCCGATAATTATTCAGGAAATCTCTCTTAGTAATTTGGAAAACTTTTTACAATCTGTTTATAGGAGTTGAAAAGTTTGATGATAAAAATTTTTTACAAGAGCACAGTTGCTTTGTAAGGTGGTAAAAAGTCAGAAAACGCCAGTAATTTTTTTAATAATTGAAGAACATGTTTCCTCAAAAATGGGACTTGCTGCCTTTCTTGGATTCTCCGAAGATTGACTCTGTTGAACGCTTTCAAAGGTTAAATTTTAAAATGGTTGATGAAAATTTTTAAAATGTTGGGCTCACTATACGTGTTAAATATGTATTAAAGTATTGAACACAATTCAGATTTTTGAAATTAAATTGGTCTCCGTCAGGCTGAATTTCTGGTTTATCGTTTGCCAAACTTTTTTTAAGGACTTAAACTATATTTAAAAAACAGATAATTGTTGATTTGTTCAATTTTGAATTTGATATCAGTTTTTGATTTTGCGATGATATGTGTTGGTAGCTACGCATTAAATTTTTAAAGCCTCAATTTACAAGATTAATTGACATTACTTTAAGTTAACTTACTCAAAATAAAGTCTAATTTAGAAAAGGGGCCCTTAACGCAAGAACGAAAAATTTTTTATTAATCAATAAACAAAGCCCCATATTTAAATGATTTCCACATTAGAGTTTTTAAAATATGGGGCATCTTGTTTACTTAAAAAGGAAAACCAAAAAGCTGTAACTTCACAAAAAATTAAAATAAGTGTAGACTTTTAATATTCTTAAAATTTATTTTTCCTTTGGGCTATTTTTAAATTTATGCATGCCTTAGGGTTTTCTAAGTCAAAAGTTTTGAAAGGTCATTCTAAAATTTGGCAATAAAGCGTTAGAAATTTCCACAATACGCAGTATGAGAATTAGAAAACCTTATTAAAAACAGATATTTCAAATGATAATTTTGGGTTTGAAATTCAAATCAATATTTTATAAAAATACGTTTTAAAACTCATTCAACTTTTAAGGCAAGGACTCAAGACTGATATAGTTTATGCGGTTTGCGAGTGTATTTTTGAACCAAAAAATTTTAAATTAAATCATTTTTGGTCATTTTAAAAAGATTTGGATTGCTTAACAAATTCAAGCGATGTAACAATAATATTTGTTTTTAACACTCTTTATTTCATCTTAAAACAGATTTAATGGAAATTTATTAAATACTATCAATCTAAATATTAAAGTGTATTACCTTTAAATTTTTTTGATAACCGGTTAAAACATAAAGGTAGAATGAATACAAGACAAATTTCTTGTAATTTAATGAAACGATATCTTTTTAAATATATGCTTAATAAATTAAAATTGATTTATTAAAGTTATTTTATAAAACCCCATTGTTAAATTATAGAATGCAGAAAAAATTTTTGCAAACATTTTGAACATTTATTATTTCCAAAAAAAAAGAAACATATTTTAAAGAAAATAAATTATATTTCATAACACAATAAATTTTCGGACCGAACAAATTAATTCATTTAATAAATAAAATTATAAACTGAAAATATTTTCCTTTTTTTGAATAATTGCCAAGTTTAATATAAAATTAATTTTAAAAGAATTGCAAGATAATAAAAAAATTTTTCTTTTTTCTTTCTCTTCTTCTTAAACATTTTCAACTGGAGGATTATATGTCAAAGGCTAGATTTCTTTTTCAGTCAGTAATGTGTAAATTTTACATGAAGTCAAATTTTTAACAGATGGTTATCAGCCATAATATATAATTTCTTTTTATGTTTAATATAATATGTTCTACATACACTAAACACACATGTATCGTGCTTTCATATAACAGTGTAATAATTAACATGTCTCTGTAGTGGAGTGTATTTCAATCTGCTCGGAAAGTGGAAGAATTCTTTCGCCGACAACTCTGCTTTGACATTCCTTAATGGTTGTTCCGAAAAGTACATTATCTATACCTTCCAAAGCATTATCACTGTAAACGAAATATTTACGATTAGTAACCATCAAAAAAAAATTATAATTACGATTTCATTGCAAGTTTATGCATTCGAAATATTTTTAAATATATATAATATTACAAGTCGTTTAGTGTTTGTTTCATCAAGTAGGTTTTAACTTAAATTTTAGTATTTAATTAATCCATGAAAAGGAATATTTAAGATCACCTGTTATTGAACACGAAATTGCTATGATAGGCTTTTCCACAAGAGTTTGGAACAATACCCAAGAAATGAAGGAATGTTGAAAGTCTGTGTTTTATCATTGCAAAGAATTGAAGAATAAGAACAACGCTATAAGCAGCAATCACCGCAAACCCTGAAAGCAACATCAGGTTTTTTCTATAAAGGAATATAATATACATAGCTAACCCCTGGCCAATGATGTTGAAACATTTTATAGAAAATTATAGACACTATAAATGCTGTCATAAAAAAATCAAAATTTAACCTTCCTCTCGTAAAATCATTATAAAGAGTAAAGATACTGAAAAAAAAACGTTTTGTTTTAACTTTCTTCGGTATGTATAGAGTTGTTTCAGTATTTCTACAATTTCTTTGATTTTTATGCTTCAGTTCCATAGTGCTCTTATTTTCTTTTGCAATTTAGCTATCTTTCCTGTTTGCCAAATAAACAAAACTTCAACCTACCTATCGGATTACTTCCAAACACACCAAGTAGTTTTCCCTTATCTGCCAACGTTGCGATAAGTATTAACCACAGCACATTAATCATAGCAAATACTATAAGCCACGTGTCGCGTAAGTCCTTAAGTTTCACTATGTAAAAATAAAATACATTGTGACAAATATTAACACAAGTAGAGGTCATACAACAAGAGAGAAGTTCAATTTCAAACGATTAAGAACAACAGTACATAGTAATACCATGATAGGACATTGTGGTTTATAACCTGTTCTCCAACTTCAGAAGGATATCTTTTGTGAACTTTAAACCATTTTTGTTTGTTTTGTTTTTGGTTTTACGTCACATCGACACAGTATAGGCCAAATCGCGACGTTTTTGAACCAATTTTAAACCAATTAAAATCGTACCAAAATTATTTTAATCATATACGACGGCCGTCTAGTATTTGATAAGAAGAGAGCTTTAGATTTGCTTTCTACAAAATAGGTTATAACAATGTTTGTAAGGTTATTTTTTCATTTTCACTATAATGGTTATGTTTCAATATATTTATATTGTGTTTTACATCGCAACAACACATTTAAGGTCATACGGCGATTTCTCAGCTTTACTGGTGCAGGAAGACCTCAGGCGCCCCTCTGTGTGTTTTTTCAGGCAATTTGGACACAAACGTGCATCTAAGTAGAACCATTGACGTTCCATAAAATAGCTTTCTCGCATGAAATAAACCGAAGGCGCTTGTGCGGCTGGAACCTACAGCGGTGAGATGCAAGTCGGCCACGAAAATCATGTTTCAAAATAACTCTCTTAACAACTATTTATTTTATCATGTTTAATCTGCAAGCTGTACGGATCACTATAAAAATAGATCATAGCGGATTTTATTATAATAAAATAAATTCTAATGACGTCCTCAAACTAGTCAAACCTTTCAAGTGCTCATCGGATTCGAATACTGTTGGCATTGGCCTTAGGCACTCTTCTCGAACGTGTTTCCAAAAATCAGTAACTTCACTGTTCCGTTCTCCAGAAAGCAGTTTTTCGATTGCATAGCAAGCTTCATCTTGCTTATTTTGAGCTGCAAAATTATTATGTAACATACATCACGAGGAGTATTTATCGATTTTCAATAGCAAGTGCAATGCTGAACATATATTTATTTAAAATAGGTAAGACACCATTGAATAAAAGCGAAACTGATTAAACCCTATATATGTAACCAATGCGAGCTTACAATTTATATCTTTATATGTTATTATTTGTGCATACAAGTAGGCATTTGATAATAAAAAAGAAAATGAAAAAGATAACACAAACCAAAACGAACCATATCATCTATGGCTTTCCTATTTATTTAGAATATTTCCGTTAACATTTCTTTTTAAATATGTCAATAACATCATCAATGTTAACATGTTAACATAGTGTGTATTCGGAAGTTACACTCAATCAAATTCACAGTGACAAATGTCAAGCTGTATATACTTGGAAGCGGATGTGCTTAAAGTGATATTACACATTGTCAAGTTGAGTTAAATTGTCTTAATAGTTCAAGATTGAAATAGTAATAGTGATTGACTAACAGCTGATATTGTCTAAGAAATAAAACGACTGCCGTACTCTGTTTATAACTGAAATGTACAGGTTATTCCAAAATTTATAGATAGATATTTCCTTGGGCAACTATATTTTATCATTCATTCGATGTCATTTATAATATTGAAAGGATAACCAAATGTTAATTTATTTTGACTTACACCTGATCACTCACTATATACCCTTGAATGTGCATATTGTCACTTTAAGGTTTTTTTCAGGTCAAATAAAAACAAGTACAATTGGTACTATCATTTTTTTTACAAATGAAACTTTATTGTTGTAATCTGGTGTAATAACGTTTTATCAAACTTACCATGTGAAGGTTTTCGTAATGCTTTTATGGCTAATAAGAACCTTCTGATATGACCTGTAAACATGTTAAAAACCACTCAGATCAAATTCATGAACATCAAAGCGCTGTTAAATTAAATAAAAAGCAATAGACAACGCTAACACCGATGCATTTTTAGATGTAATACTTGAAGTTGCTACCTGTTTGTTGAGTCACAGTCTTTTAATTTATGTAGCCTATGTTTGGTAAAACAAAAGGTCAAAAACAAGGCCGGAATCCGTGCGAAGAGAATTATTCTATTAAACTGAGACAGAATGCATGCATATTTCTTAACTGGATGTATTAGTACATTATACAGACAATTCAAATATCTACGAAAAGATTATGTTTAATATAACAGAACGTCCAGGAGCACATTGACTAGACAAAAACAAAATGAAGTATCAAAATATCTGAACGTTGATATAATAATACTGAATAAAGCATTTTGAAAGAAGGTAGATTTGTCAAAATAAACACTTACCTCTCTTGTTGATGTGAAATGATTTGACATCATCTTCATTGCAGTCTGCTAGACTTTCAAGATCATTTTGATCTCTGTAATTTGCCTCATAGAAATTCTTTTTGTATTGTTCCAGATCAATTTGTTTTAACCAACTCTCAACATTTTCCTATATTCAAACGGAGTGAAGAACAATTAATAGACATGTAATAGGACAGGAAACATAAACATTTATTAAAATACATTGTATGCATTGCCTTGCCCTTGTTATTCTTTCTTTAATCACACCAGTGTTAATTTTGCTATTCCGTAAAAACGGTATTGCACGCCCGTGCGTATATACTTTGAAGTGACGTTATTTGCGCAGTTCACACATAGTGTAAACACTGACTTTATATTTATGTTTCAACATATAACTGTGTCATTAAAATCATTCTAAAATCTGTTGAATATAATATAATATTATTCTCGCAAAAGGTCAAAGAAAACGTTACTCGTGAAAGCCCTAAAATGCTTTCACACTATTTGTTTAATCGGAGCATGCCCTTCTTTCCAGTTGTCTTGTATTTTGTTTTCATTTACCTGACAGATTTTCTTTGACATAATCTAATGGCATAATATCAAAAACTAAACCAAAAATTAACATGCATGTAATTTTTTTTAAAGATGTTGGCATGGTGTTCTTTAAACTACCCTAGTTTGATAAATTGAGATTTACTTCAGAAATGGGCCTAAATATTTAATGCACTTGTAAGGCAATGCTGAATATGCTGAAAACATAATCTTACTATAAGCCACGAATTTGTCACTTGAAGATCAAAATATATTTCCTATATAAATCTTTGTGCACTAAGTGACCCTGCGAGCAAATTTCACCAAACAGGTATGATTTGAAAATATTTAAAGAAGACTAGACTATAAAATTATCATTTATGCTAAATATCTGAGTTCTTAGCTCTGCAGTTTCTGAGGTCATGAGTTAAGCAAAATCAGTAGTAGCCTCATCCAAAATATCAAAGCTATATACCTTGTAGTCCTGAAGAAGTAGATTTTTGCTTATTACTTTTGATTTTCATTGCAAGCAGACTTCTGCCCGGAATCAAATTCTTCGAGCAACATAAGATATCTAACAACTAAAACGTTATCGCTATACGACATGGCACATTGCACATACTGCCTCGATATAACAGTTAAATAAATAATCATCATTCACTGAGCGAACAATGTCTGACTGATGAGAAACATTTTTTTCACAATACCTTCAAATCAAATCCTTAAGAGATTATTTGTTAAGATGGAATATTTTATCTCCAGTATAAGAATTCATTACGAAAAAAAACGAAAGAGGTCTATTTACAAGTATGTTGAAAGCACCTGCTCTACATAAACTAGTGGTTTCGACGAGGAGACGGAAATTGCAACAATGTCGTAATTAACTTTCAGCATTGCTTTTACAATACTCACTGGAATTGGCAATGGAATTTCGTAATCCTTCAGTTGTTCAACCATATCAAGAATTTTCTTTATTTTAATACGGTCTGAAATGTAAGTGTTAAAAATCGTTAAAAAGGTTATTAAACATCCTTTTGTTATGTCATACAGATATACAGATAACAAGTACTTCAAAGCAATTTAAATAGCTGCTTTTTAGGTGTTTTCCTTCTTATCCATTTTTCATATAATCATTATTCCAGGTATATCAAAATGTGGGGGGTCGAGTAAAGTGTTTATACCTTTCACAAACCTGTTTTCTCAGGTAATGCTTGGGACTGATGCGACCAAGGTTAATTTGACTAAGGCTTAAAAAGTAATTTTACTCTAACATAACATTAAATAACATAAATTATGTCTCTAGAACTTAAAAAGTACTGCTGGGAAAATTAAACCATTTGATGGTGCACCAAACAGTGTAAAAACGAATCCCCGGCAACCTTGTCCAGCTTTTACATGTTGAACAGCACGTGGTATTTCCACGAAACTACACAGGAGTGAATAGTTTTATCCCTACTTGTGCATATCGCCGAAACGTTCCGCTTCGCTGCACAAAATGGTCACAAGAGCTATAATTAGATAAATCTTGTCAGGCTTTCACAGGTTGAACTGATGTGGGATTTCAATCAAACTACACAGGAGGGATCAGTAGAAGAGCATATTGCCGGCACCTTCTGCTTCACTTCACAAAATGGCCATGCTGGCCGTATTTCAATTAAACTTTATACCGTCCCTAGACGTGCATATCGGTGAAAGGTTCCGTTGGTTGCACAAAATAGCTGTCACAGCTATTAATAGAAAAATCTTGTCCGGCTTCCACAGGTCAAACTGCTGTCAGGATTTCAATGAAAGTTCACAGAAGTGATCAGTACCATGCCTAGTTTTGCATTTCACCGACAGATTCTACTACGCTTCGCAAAATGGCCGCCTGAGCTATCAATAGAGAAAAAGTTGTCCGGCATGTCAAAAAAACATGTCAAACTGCTGTCAGGATTTCAATGAAACGTTACAGACGTGATAAGTACAATCCCAAGTTGTGAATATCGCCGGCACTTTCCACTCAAATATAGCAAAAAATGACCACTAGAGTTGAAAATAGAAAAATCTTGTCTGCCTTTCACAGGTTTAAGTGCTGGTGGGATTTTAATGAATCTCCACAGGAGTGACCAGTATCATCACTTATGGTGCATTTGGCCGGCACGTTCCTCTCCGCTGCATAAATTGCCACCAGAGCTTTAAATAGAAAAATCGTGTCCGCTTTTCACAGATCAAACTGCTGTCGGGATTTCAATGAAAGTTTACAGAAATGATCAGTAACATACCTAGTTCTGCATTTCGTCGGCATGTGCTGGTCGGATTTTAATGAATCTTCACAGGAGTGATCAGTATCATCCCTTATTGTGCATATAGCCGCCTTGTTTGTCTTTGCTTCACAAAATGGCAGTCAGAGTTATAAATAGAAAATCATTTCCGGCTTTCAAAAGTCAAACTGCTGCCGGAATTTTGAACAAAATTCACAGGAATGATCTGTACCTTACATTATTTTGGGAGACAAATGTTGTTTTTGTGACAAAACGACCTGTAGTTTTTTAGCATTAAATATATTGTACAATGTACAATGTTGATAGCCAACATATAAAAGGTTTATTATGGTATACGCAGTCACAACATATGTAAACATGTTTTGCAGAAGAACAAAATTTCTAATTCATGCATATATTGATGACATGAATTTCATCATGACAATCCCATTTACTGTTGTCAAGGTAATACCGAAATTGTTTTATTCGTGTTAATCATCAATCATGGCCATTCATAGTGAACACGACTTGAATGGTCGTCAGTTTTATCATTTATTTTATTAAATGAAAGACATACCGTTTAAACCAATACTCTTTAAATCTTCTCTTCTAATGTTACTGATAAAAGACGTTTTCTCGAAGCCATTTTCTTTTAAAAGCTTTGCTTCTTCTGGCTGCAATGATTTCAGAACATGTTTATTTAGTCCAGATAAAATCAAACAAACAAAACGGAAAAAGGGTTGTCTTGACTATTGTTGAATAATAGAATTCAAGTCAAAATATGGAATTTAAGTATTCCATTAATGTTTCCATTATTGTTCAAATAATAAATGCAGAATCGTTAAAAGATATCACCACTAATCAACAATGAGCACAAAAGAAAGATCGAACCTTTGACTGAATGACATTATCAAACTGATATATCTTTCAAAATAGTTAAAACGTCACTGTCGCATTCAAATCCCCAGCATAATACAGCGCCAGATTTACTGAATATTTCAATTAGAAAGTTATTACCATATCTTGTAACCATTTTTCCACAGACTCGTCTTCTTCGCTTTGTATAGGAACAACGCAATCTAAAATTTAACGATAAAACAGTTAATGCAGTACATTTAGACAGCTAAAGAAGGTTTGTTCAATAAGATATTAATACTTTAAATTGTTTCCGAAAAATTATCTTTTTTAAGACCTAGATGATTGTTAAGCAGCTTCCGGAATGCTTCCTTCTATTTTTTGCACAACTGTTTGAAAAACATCTTAACTATGCCAGATGTTTACAAATAATCTTTAAACAACAGTTCTGGTTGCTGAAAACGTTTTACAAATACTAAAGTAAGCATTGATTTTTTCTCGGCATTTTGTTTGCGCTATTTATATTGCTTTTGTGTAATATAAATTAAATGTTTTCGAATGGGTATTTTATGGAACTTATTAAGGACTATAACGCTATAAATCTGATTCCTGTAATTCACAAAGTTATCCCCCAAAAATAATAATGTTTACATACAATTTTCATTTGTGTTAAATAGCAAAGACATTTTATGTTGCAACTCTTTTGAGAATCAACTATAAGATAATGGAAGCAACATAACTTTGTCTTAATATCGTACATTTTATAAAAATAGTCCATTAGATAAACATGTCCTTTATACAGTATTATATCTGTTAAGGCAAATTTCATAATTGTCCAAAATGTCTGAGAAAAGATATCGTTTAAAGCAACAGTTGACTCCATACGATGGACACGCACGAACACCAGAACCCTTTCACAATAGATCATCTAAGGCAAATTGTGCTTAAGTCAACTATAGATTAAACAACTTTATCCTCATACGTAAGACACTTCTCTCATTAAAGTTTTGTCTTTAAAAATCAATTTTCTGGTTATGTGCCCAAAATTTACAATTTTAAAAACGGTGTCCGATACAGTAATCAACAAATGAAATATATCACCATTTAATTCCATTGTATTGTCACCAAATATTGTTGTACCAGACGATCTTGTTCTATATCTAGATCGACCAAAACTTTTATCAGTGCCTTGATTTTCTGATTCATGTTCTTGTTGTCGATTGTCTTGCCTCGAAAAACAACTAAAAATTAAATCAAATTGACACAAATGATAAAAGTACATTGTATATAAGTAATTTAAAATAATTTAGCATAGCTTTTTTCATCATGTTTTAAAGTGACATTATGCCTATCGAAGTATAAATGCTGAGTGCACACGTAAAAGTTAAAAGTTAATCAAATTTAGTCGTCCATTTGTTCAATTTATATTTTACTTTGCAATAAATAAAACCATCAATCCACTGGACCCATGAATACTAGTATTTCTTTAATTTTCGTTCCAAATAAATAGAAAAAGTTCAAATTTTAGAAAAAGTATGTCAGTCTTTTCATTTTTAAGGACAGATTTATATTTTCCAATATTAACTGTTGGACAGCAACAATTATTTCGCCATTTTCTTGTTATATATAAAGAATTCAGCTCAACTTGATAATGATAAAAATAGCATAATGTTTCGTTAACAACATAAAGCTAATCTTCTTCAAATTATAAATTAAATCATATTTCATGTAATGTAATTCTTAGATGTATATAAGGTTAGCATTTTACAGACTAATGTATGTAAGATTAAACATTAAAACAAACTTATTATAATAACATTCAAGTTATAGAATATTACACTCCATTGTACTTCTTGTTTCTAGCACCATTTATAAAATATAGTTTAGTTATCCACCTGTCACAAATTTTGAAGTTAACTTCAATAATATCAATAATACTTACGAACACAAAAAATTAATCACCGACAAGATGTTCTCTTTCCATGTATGTTCATGCAAAGTTCCTTGCCCATCTTCTCTTGTTCCTTTATAAAGGCAAATGTATTTTGACTAAATGCAACGTTAATAAATGTACTGCATGTTGAATCAGTACAAATATTCTATAAACAGCTCAATTAGCAGGCTAAATATTTTACATTTATTTTAAGTTTTTAAAAATGTTTGAATACTGAGAAAATATTTTATACCCCAAGAACTGTCGGTTATATTGCAGATGCTGTATATCATCAATATCAAATAACTCGAAGGCAATCCAAGTAGATACACAAATCCATAAAATATAATCCAAAACTCTGATAGGTGTAACACAGCGGTAATGAAAAAAATAGCTGTTATTCCTATCAAATAGACACTGGTCGATGAGAGTTTTAAATCTTCACTGATAACTGAAATATAAATGTAAATTGGAGAAATTGGTTAACATGTAGATTCCTCATAGTACAAACAATGTCAATAAGTTAACATGCAAACAACAAGGCTTTTGATTTGATTAGATGTTAACCCAAGATTTCAAACTCCTTTATGATACAATTGAGATGATCAATCTTACAAAGTTTGATGCAGATCGAATAAAACATATGACCTCTAAATTGTTAACAAGCTTTTTTATATGATATAATGACTTTGTTTTTTTACTCAGATGACTATCATATAATTTATTTGAGATATCATTAACTTAAAGTGACATTATGCTCATATTTTCATAGTCAAGTTGAGCTAAATCAGCTTTATATTTTAAAAGATTGCCTGTTTAAATGGTGTTTGACCAACAGTTTATATTCGAAAATGTTACGGATAAAATTTAAAATCTGCCTAAATATAAAAAGACTGCCCCACTCTTTTTATAAATTGAATGTAACAGGTAAATTCTAAATAATATTTACATAAATTTCGTTTGAATTTATTGTTTATGAGAGGTAAATTATTAAATTAAAAGGAATACCGGCAAAATGAAAATCTATTTTAACTCTACCTGTTCGCTCACTATATACCTTTAGATGGGCATAATGTCACTTTAAGGAATACCATTCTGACAACATTTGATGAAAATCAAATAAAAATGTGACCTCTAGAGTATAAACAAACTGTTTCTCATACATTTGACCATGTAACCTAGGTATTGACCAAAGATGACCATCTTTGAAATCTTTCATGATTATGGTTATCATTCTGGCAAAGGTTGATTAGGATCTAATAAAACTGTAACATCGATAGTGTTAAGTTTCTTTTATTTTATCTGGTGATCTAGATTTTGATTCAGTATAACAAATCTTCAAACTCATATGAGGAACTATACATAAAATAATCCTAAAAAGGTTTGACAAAGATAAACATGAAACTGTGACCTGTAAACTGACAAATGTTGATGTAAGCTGAATCGGCTGACCTATGCTTAGATCTCGAATGAATTCAGCTAAACCAAAGCTCGTGTTAGCTCAAGAGTGTGTGTTTGAATTAAAAGCCTTAGGGCAGAACAAAACTGAAAAATAAATCGGAAAGGGAATCAGTCGTTAAAAGACAAACGTAAAAAAGCATGCATTATTGAACGTGATTAAATTAGAAACAATGTTTGTTTTCAATGAAACAAAAAACCGTACAGTTTTTTTCAGAGCCTGGTTGACCTGTAATATCAGTCGCAATTTTCACTGCAGTACCAACTAGCGCTATCATCATGAATAATGTGTATAAACAACAATATAACTTCCCAATCTGAAATATAACGAATACTAGCTTTCACATTTTGTATTTCAAACGGAATGTATAGGACGTTTATTGTAACTATGCGCCTCAAGATTGCCCTTGCAATTTTGTGCCCCTTTTCAGGTCTTATGCTACCATTTGATTTGTTTTATATCTTTCTGTTAGTTTGGTGTTTGAAAATGCTGAGTAACATTAAAATCCCATATAACCTAATCATTTTGTTGAAATCGATAAGTTGTATCAACAATATTAGAGAGACTGCAATGGAATATATACCTTTTTAAAGTTTATTTTCCAGTCCGTAGCATTTCAGCCACACAAAAAATGTACCAGAAAACTCCGAAACCACTCCGAAGACCTTTTTCTGTTGTTTCATGATACTAGCTAATTTTGTTATCTTTACTTTACTCTTTTAATCACATGATGTTACTTTTGCTATTGACGACGTTTTAGTTCATTCTTGCACTACATTTTCAAAGCGTGTTAGGTTTGCAAAAAGAAGTTACACTTGCCACAATAGAAACAAAACAGCTTATTACGTATTTACCCGTAACAAGACACATGATTGCCTCATCAAGTGACACAGTGCTTTGCAGCATCTCGTTCAACTGATTTTACATCATCATAATAACATTCAAAATTGAATGTATGATAAGTTTTAAAAGTTTTAACTGAATTGGATCTATAAACTTGATTGATATTTAAAATAATGTGTTCATAATTTGATATTGTTTTCAGCTTACGAAACTTTTTTATGATATCAATTTCTTTAATTGGAAGATATTTGAGGAATGAAAAAAAATCGTTCTTTAGCAACATTTTTTAAACAGCCTATCATATGATATTGTTAATTTATTACAGCTTTGTAAGAACATATTTGAAACTAATATTATACAGTACCAATAGTTGTGTCCGTGACGAAGACTTGAGACAGATAATTCCATAGCAGACGCTTAAAATAACCTGTATCGAAAGAGTTACTGAAGGGTTCCAATCTGTTCCAAACTTTAGTCCTCCTGTTACAAATTAATAGATTATTTAATGATAGAAGGTGATAAAAACAGCAAGTATAAAATAGATAAAAACACAAAAAAATCACACACAAAACACAACAACAACAAGAAACTTAAAATTGTCACAAGTCCCGAAAATCCCCGACACGCGCTTGTCAGAAAGCTTTCCAGTTAATAATTTTACACATAGGGAGAATGCAGTTAGTTAAAGATTTTTTTCAAATGTTTTTGAATTTTTTGTCTTACATCACAATAAGATGAATTTAAGTTTTGATTTGAAGTTATTATGACTTCTTTAAAGGACAATACTTCTCAGTGAGATCTATCTACCTCATTTTAATACCATTGATAGTTCTCAATTTATATCCTGAAAAATGTTCAAGGTGTAAGAATGAACAAAAGGCAATTTTTTTCTCAACATCCGGGTAGGGAGGAATACGGTGCCTCCTAGTTTTGCTCAGTGTGATCTATCTACCGACAAAGTTTCAAGTTGATACCTTTTATAGTTTTTAAGTTATGTCCAGGACAAAATTTGAAGTGAAAAAAAGACAATAACTTCAAATTAAGAAATAAAGGGTTACGGCTCTTCTACACTGCCATTTTTCTTATTCATATGTATCAGCCTACAAAGTTACAAGTTGATACTTTATTTATTGTTCTCAAGTTATGTCTCGGACATATTTCTAAGTGTAACCATGAACGATGGGCAATAAATTTTAATCAAGGGAAGGGGGATTACTGTTCTTATGTGCCGCACTTATACTCAGTGCGATCCATCTCCCTACACAGTTTAAAAGTGATTCTTATGTAGTGCACTTCTAGGCAGTAAGATCAATTTACCTACAGAGTTTCAAGTTGATATTCTTTTCAGTTCTCATGTTTTGTACCGGACAAAGTTCAAAGTGTAAAAGTAAACAAAGGCAATAACGCCAAAAAGGGAAGGGAGAGTTACTTTTCTTATGCACTGCACTTTTACTCAGTAAGATCTATCTACATACAAAGGTTTCAGTTGATACTTTTTATAGTTCTCAAGTTATGTCTTATACAAAGTTCAATGCGTAACCATGGACAAAGGACAATTACTCCAAAATTATATTAGGCAGAGATTTGGCTCTGTTGCACACGACTTTAAATCAATGAGATCTATCTACCTACAAGGTTTCTTGTTAATCCCCCTTGTGATTTAAGAGATATGTCCTGGATAAATTTCAAAGTATAAAAATAAGCAAAGGGCAATAACAAAAAAATTAGTTAGGCAGACTGACGGTTCTTTAGCAATGCACATCCTCTCACTAGGATCTATCTGTCTACAAAGTTTTAAATTGATACCTTTTGTAGTTCTCAAGTTATGTATCGGACAAAGTTTTAAGTGTTAAAAAAAAATTAAGGGCTATAACTTAAACAATTTCGGATGGGAGGGTTATGGTTCATATTCGCCGCTCTTCTACTCAATTATGTTTAATACCTACAAAGTTTCTTGTTGATACATTTTACCGTTCTAATGAAATGACCCGGACAATGTCAAATTGTTAAAATGAACAAAGGGCAATAACTCCAAAATTGGGAACGGGATATTATGTTTCTTTTGTGCTGCACTTTTTACTAAAAAGATCGAACTACCTACAAAGTTTCTTCTTGATATCTCATGTAGTTTCAAAGTAATATCCCAGAAAATGTTCAAAGTGTAAAAATAAAGGGCAAAAATAGCAAAATTAGGCAAGGCACAGCACTTCTACCCAATGAGATCTATCTACCTACACAACTTGAACTTGATATCTCTTGTACATTTTGAGATAAATTGCGGACAAGAAATCTGCAACGACAGAGCGATCGAACACTAGCTGGCTCCAGTATAACCCCACAAACTTCGTTTTTCGGGTATAAAAATAGATAAATAAATAAAGATAATTTGAAGACTGACCTGAGACAACAAGAATAACTGAGCTTGGTCCAATTAAAGTCGAAACCAGCAAAACAATTTGATATATCTTGAAGAGGAAAGACACACGTAAATTGTTTTGATTGACTAGAAAAATAGATAAAAAATTAATTCATTAAATGTTTTGACATGTATATCATATAATTTATTTTAAATCACTTATAGGATATGTCTTATCTTAAACATGTTATAAAATGTGTAACGTTGAAATCGTTGATCTTTATTTAAAGTAAATATTTTGATTATTTGATCATTTTCCAACAGTTTGTTTGATTTCGATGTTAAATTTTTCACATTTATTTATCCGTTCAAAACTTATATACGTATTAATAAATAATGATTTTAAGTTTTTTGTTTCTTATTTCAGTTTGTTCATGTGCGAATTTTTAATCCAAAATAGACAACAATCATACTTAAACTCCATTCTTTAATTAAAAGCCATTGGTTAGCAAGTGTTGAAACAATCCATCGACGCCTTTGTTTGAAATATTGGTCGAAATCTTCAGGACAATGAGTACTATTTGTTGAAGTTGCACAATACTCTATCCGCCATCCTTTCTGGACCTTTAAAATGGTAATTAAATTAAACAAACATATAAGTTTATTCCTAAACTTTAAAGTATGTTTCGAAGATCACATACATGTATTCATATTCGATTTTAACATTTACTTCCTCAATTTGAAGATGACGACTTGATGATCGTCAATGATCGGAAATATATCAAATGAGGCGCATTTTTTAGAGTTTCCAAATAATTTATGATCATTGAATGCGCTAAAGTTCCTAAACATTTCACAAAACATGTATATTTAATTATATTTAGAATAATTAAAACAAACATACAGAAAGGATTACTAATTTCACAAATATAACATAAAGTTTTCCAAAGATGTAGACAATGATTTTACCAAAAGCGTACATAACCATCGGTCTTCGCCCATATCTTTTGTTAAAAATTCTTCTGCTTTTTCAACATTTGTAGCGTATAGACTCAAAACATCGTTTATTGCTTTAAGCCTGTAGACACTGAAACATCCGGGTGCACACAAAACAGTACCAAGTACATGCTCAGATGCCTGAAATTTCAAACAATATATATTCCGTCGAAATTGTATCTTTATTATGCTAAAATTTTTAAAACACCGGATGCTGCTTCCTTCTTTACTTTTGTTTCACAAATATTTATTTCTAAATTGAAGCGTTTTGTGATAAGATAGATGGCATGATAGCTCTAACAAACATAAAGAAAATAATGATTTACATACTTTTTGGAACCAGTGACCAATCGCATACTCGAAAATCTGTAACCAAACTAGCAGCCCACTTCCGAGTGGATGAGTCCTTGCACATACCGCACCGACGCTCTCATCACGTGCCATTAGATTTATTAGTGTTTCAACACTTTTAGGGGTAAATTTGACATCTCCATCAGTTGTTAAAATGTAAGATTGTTCGGAATTTTCTAAAATTTAAACAAAAATAAATGGATGAATTTTCACACATAATTTTAGACATCTGCGACGAAACAATTTAATTATGTTTGTGTTTAAACGTGGTCCATATTTTGATGATATTCAAAATAACTTAGAACAGTTCAAACAAAAAAATCATTACAAAATAGAAAAGAAAAACAAACAAAACAACAATCAAAAGAAATAATAATGATAATAATAACAAAAATGAAAGAGAAAAAAGAAAACCCTTACACACGCGCGCGCACGCAAGCACACAACAAAAATGGGACAAAAAGGTCATTTTGTCTACAGATAGATAATAAGTATTGAGCAGCAAACAGCAATTATGGAGTATGAAGAAATCATCGCGAAGTTTTGAGTATTCAAAACTTAATTAGTTTCTCATGTTTTATATTTGTGTGAATCTTCCAGGTTTTACTGAATTTTTCAATGCACCGTCCAGGTGCCGATGGAGTCGATGTATTTGCTGTTGCCAGATAGTTTATGATTACATCATGTACAGTAGGATTCAAAGTGTTTCAAATTTGCTCCAGGGTATATAGATCTTGGCTGCTGTCCAGTCAAGGAACTATCTTGATTGCTCAAAGTCCAGAAAAAGTTAAATCTTGGATATGTATTTAGGTTACAGGAGGAATGTTTCCAGGCTTCGATTATTGCGAATGTAACAGTCAGTCTTTAATGTCAATACGTCTATATTGTCATTTGAAATGCAACTTTTTCTTTGATTCTCTCAACCTTTATTGAATAAAACTGTTTAAAACAAGGCTGGCTTGATAGGCTAGAAAATGGAATGTTAGACTTGATCTCGTATGAAACTATTTTGCTTTTTCTTTAAGGAACGTGGCTTAATCCTCTTTTAACGCTATAGCGGCTTCTTTATATCGTAAATATACTGATAGTAGCAATATTGATACATGCACCTAAACCTTCCTATACTTTATTACTGGTCAATCACTTATCACATAAAAGAGTTCAACACAGAAAGAGTTGTGCTTTATAAATATCTAAATACGCCGCTTATTGAGCAAATGGTTTTTAACAATAAACACGGGATACTCTTCCCTATTTAGACTATGCCATTGTATATATAACTTTAAACGTAAGTCTGACATATCAGTTGCGTAAAAAGTCATTTTAGACGCATCAATCAATGATGTGTTAAATTAAATTGCAAAGTTGGAGCCTTAAAACCCATTTTTAAATTTGAAAATTATAGAAATGTTTGTTTATAGAGTCTCAAATATATTATCAGAATATATGACATCTGATGAAACATCATAGAAAAAAATTAACTCACGGTTTGCTTGAAGTGTTTCATCTAGAGCATATTTCATATACATGACTTGGCTCCACCTTTTCTTACTTTTGACCTAAACAAATTAGTTAAGTTAATATCATTATTTGTTGAAAATGTTTAATGTGTTTACTTATATATAGCATAAATTTGTTACACCATAAATATTTTTGCTAAAAGTACGATATTTTAATTCAAGTTTCGAAATGGTAATGCAATTTTATTTCATTGGTGCAATTTAATTGTTAAATAATAAGCAGGAGAAAACATTAAATAGCCATGTAAGGCATTGCAGACTAGCGTTTGTTCAATATATGTCTTAAAACGAAATGATATAAGTTACTTTTGATTAAAATTCATTTTCTCATTTTTTTCCATTTTTTTCATGAAAGGGAGTATATGAAACATGGAAATAAGAATCCTTATTTTATTTATCTGCTAAGCTTAGCAAGGCAAGTTTTAGATGATAATAATACAACATAAATATTTTACCTTTAATTTGTCTTTGAGATGGATTGTGCAATTGGAGCCCTCGGTTTGATTAAAGGGCAGTCGCAAGCTAAGCGACAAACCATAAGGTGTTTCCATTTTAGTAAAAAATCCTACCTTTGTCCCTAAAAGTGTTTAAATTGAAGTTTCTAAATTTTTTAAATCAATTTAATTGTCAATAACAATGTTAATTACATAAATAGTCTAATGTGATATTTGATCATGAAGCCAAAACGAATTAAATAAATTTTAGATTTCTGTTCCGCCCAAACGTAATTCAAGCTTGATTTTATATTCACAATCCTTTAAATGTTAAACAGTCTTAATACAAATTGCTTAAAATAAATAAATATATAAATAAATTAATGAATAAATAAATAAGTTTATGAATTGATTAATAAATAAATACATAAATAATTAATAATAAAAAAACAGCAGGGTAAATATAGGCTTTCATCAAGTCCCTTTTACATTTTGTATGTCATTTAAAAAAGATAATAACAGTAAATCAATATAAAGTTTATAAGACATCAAATTCTATTGTATAAAGTGCTAATAATTTTTCAGGTCTTGATTTCGATAAAAATATTTTATATGCTTATAAACGTTAACTGCTTTTTGTTCGAATGACACTATAGAAATTAAACCATAGTTTCTTATAAACGCTGTTGAAATAACAACGTTAGAGAAATAGTAAAGTTAAACTTAATTATGATAATGATAATTTCTAACCAAACACTTCTTCAAAAAGCACAACGAGCTGAAGTAAATATTCCGTCGGTTTTCCTGACTTTACAGCACCATCGAAGAAAATGTGAAACTCGATTTTAAGTCCTTTAGTTCTAAAAGCGTGGTTGTTAAATAATCGAAAATCGGGGAGTTTGCTTCATTCTTGGTCGCCCAAAAGTTAAAAAACTCAATTAGCAAAATTTTTTTATTAAAATGCTTGGAAACTTTGTTTTGCATTGTAAAACAACCTTTTTTTTTTTAATATAATAAAATTTTTTAAATTTTTTTGAAACCAACATAGATTTTGGGCCCCATTTGAAGGGTGAATCTATTTGCAAAAATGAAATTTAAACGTGTTCCAACATAAGAGGCACAATTTCGAACACCTTTTTTGTAAAATTTTAAAATTGTATGAAAAAGCAAAATAGATAAACAAAATTTATAAAAAAAAACGTCCTCGTACTTTGGGGGGCAAAAAAAGTTCGATTTTTTGGCCATTTGCAAAGGGGTTCCAAATTTTTATTTTTGGGGGGTTTTTCTTTCCTTCTTGCAACATTCCCCAGTGTTAAAGTAGTGCAGAATTATACATTGGCGTCCAAAGTAACTGTTACAACATAATAAATTCATGTGATTATATGTTATAATATTTTAGCAACTGAGACTATCGTCTTTCAAATTAATCTTTAGTTTATAGATATATAATACATATTACGCTTCAATTTAACTAATGGATAATTTATCAATACTAAGCGTATACCGTTAAGTCTGAATAGGCTGCTTTACCCTAACTGGCTAAATATTCAGTAACAAGGTTAGCTTTTAAAAAAGCTAGTAGCGACTCGCTTCGTAATTTTATTCCAGGGTTGTGCTTAAATGTAAAAATGACAGTTCTGTACCTGAAGAGATTTCAGCGAAGATCAAAATAAAAGTGACATATAAAGTTACGGAAGCCAGTTCTCTCTTGGTCGTCCTAAAAGGTAATAAAATTTACTCAAGTTCTTAATGCTTGGATATACATTGCTTGCTATTGATATAGTAACAATACCTTTATCCTTTTATTTATATAAAAAGGTTTTAATTTTTTGCAACCCAACCATAGATATTGGTAAATTGACGGTAGAAATCTATTTGCAAATGAAAATTGATACGTGTTGCCAACATAGAGGGGTCTACATTGTTGTGCGAAAATCAGGTATTTGTGGAAATATGTTGTACGATTGTATGATAAATGCTAGAGATAGATTAAAACAATTTATAATTTTGATATAATAAAAACGTACTCTCTGTACAATGTTGGTGCATATAAAAAGTTTCCGAGTTTTGGCCGTTTGCAATGGTTGCAAATATTTGTTTTTCTTTGTCGCGTGATTTCATTCCTTCTTGCTACATTATTCCAGTGTTCAAGTACTGCAGAATTATAACATTGCGTCCAAAATAACTGTTACAAACATAATTAATTTCATGTGATTATATGTTATAATATTTTAGCAACTGAGACTATTCGTCTTTCAAATTAATCTTTAGTTTATAGATATATAATACATAAAATTAGCTTCAATTTAACTAATGGATAATTTATCAATACTTAGCGTTATACCATAAGTCTAAATAGGCCTGCTTTACCCTAACTGGCTAAATATTCAGTAATAAATAACCTGATCTTCCTTTAAAATAATATTGAATACACTTTCGAATAAAATCCACCACGTCGAAAAAGGCCTGTGCAAGAAAAAATGCCGTCGTGGCTATCACAACGAAAATTATACTTTTCGACGATGTGATGGTACAGTCCAGCTTGTCGTCGTGATCTATACAAACAAAGAAACGTGTGTATCAGAACTTTTCTAGGCATATATAGTAGTACCATTTAATATGAAAACAGATAAATAAAAAATAAAAAAACTAGAAAACCATTTGCCCCGACCTCAGTATGTTCGAATCGCAACAGGTCTGTGGATTATTATTTTATGTGAGGAACATGTATAGCTAGCTCACGCAACGTCGGTTGTTCGATTCAGGAGCCTATTTGTACATCAAATAATGCACTTAAGGGTACCTGAGGTCTTCCTTCACAAGTATAGCTGAAACCTCGCCATATGACCTTTACTGTGTCGTTTTGAGGGACCCCCCACACACACACACACACACAAAAAACTTAAACCGTAAGAGCCTGATTCAAGTTCAAATTATGTAAAAGTCAAAGAATGTTGGTTCGAGACAACAAATTTTCACCCTTTCACTTACCTGGCATAAAAAGAATACCATTGCATGTTGCCTCAGCTGCTAACAGGAATATAGAAAAAGGGGTTGCTATTGCAAGTGGTACTGAGAAACCAATCATATGTGAATTTGTTGTACAAGCGATATAGCCGGCGAGATAGCCTGAAAAATGTATTTGTATCACTTAAAACATATATGAGTATAATAGTCTGATCACCGGACATACAATTATTATAAATAAACATGATTACATGAGATAATTCAATTTTATCATATAAAATATTTATTTTACAGTTTAAAAAAGGTTCTGAATAGTAAGAATTAAATACGGTAGCTCCGTAGATGAGCAAAAACGACTTTTACAAACACTTCTTACACTTCTTACTTACTTGAACTTAATTTTAAGATTTTGTTAAGAAAAAGAAAGTGATACTTTCCGACAAAACCTGATGCTATGTGTGTGTAGAAATAAATGAATTGCTTTCGACTACACTCAAACAACGTTATCCATGCATTCTTATAAGTGTCAATATCGACTGCAAGAACAGAGAGATATTAGTTGTGTAGACTAAATTATGACAGTCAAGGTAGAACACTCATTTACCAGTTTTATCACTGATCGCAATATTCAAAAAAGGGAACTGAATAATAATTTGATAGAATCAATCAGTTGCATACGTTTACCTGTCACTTACTGTTACGCACAAATCTTAAAAGAACAATAAACTTTCATATCAGATTTGATGGATTTGTCAGTATGTACTATGTTAGATATAATCTTAAGTGTCTTTTAAATGTTAAGTTACAATTTCAGATAATTCCAATACCTCATTGTTCTAGTCACATAAAATTGTGCAACTCGTAGATTTGATTTAAAAAGGCTTGCTATAGTGTCATGCAATACCCTTATTAAAATAAAGAGTTTTATTACATACTTGATAATTAATGATTCCTTGTGTAAGTATATCAATTATATAAAGCTGTACAAGCTTGGTTTTAAGTAAGAACAAATTAAGAGTTTTTTGTACCTTTTTCAAAATTTTCAGGAAAAGGTGATATGTCGCTTATAAACAATATCAGCATGGAAAATCCAACAGTTGATAGTAGTTTTACTAAAGACATAAGCGCAGTTAATTTCCATGTTGTGTTTTCTAATGTGTTTTGATTTGTTGTTTGACCCAATGAATATGGACTGTCTTCATATTGTATACTACTACTTGATGTACATGGACCATCATTTCTTCTACTCTGAAAAGTATTATCATTTAATTAAATGCAGAAATAAAACATATTTTCGTATATGTAATACTCTTTACTAAAATCTGAGCTACTTTCTATCTCATAAAAGTTGGCTGTTTTTGTTGACGTTTGTTATCAATATGCACAATTGAGAACAAAATCACGTGTTTTTATTTTTTGTTTGCAAGCTATGACCATATATATGACCATTCTTTAATAAATTATACAACCATTTTCTTACCCTGGAATTTATTCATTCAATTTTGTTATTTTTCTTGGATGTTATAGCTTAACAATGAATATATCAAAAACATGTAACTATATAAATTATTTGTCGCTTTAATATAAACAAATGCGTACCTACCTCGGTATTGATCTCCTTTTCACTTTCCACCATGTATTTTTGAACTGAAGGACACCAAGCTACAGACAATAGCATGACACTTATAGGTGCTAGTACAGGTAATTTTATTGAGCTGTCTAGCAACAGAAGAATTGTACAAACTATTCCAACAACCACACATATTAGAGCATACACACTAGTATATTTACAGCAACAATATTGCTGTAAATTTCGCGTACTAATGTTAAGTCTCCTGATATTCAAGATGGTATTAAGAAGTGGACAAACTATCACACAGTTCATCAACAGAATAGCATGATACGTTTTACCGAGTCCTGGTATATAAAAGATAAATAAACAAAGACCCACTGCTTCCATAATGCTCATAATCGTCTGAAATACAAACAGGAAAAACTGTTAAAATAATTACTCAATAAATAAGCATTTAAACCATTACCTTTGCTGAGACCAAAAGTGATTAAAGGAGCCTCACTCAAAAATCTTACAAAATAATTTTAAGGCACTTAAAATGGAAAAATATGCAACGGATGATAACGTAATTCATTCAAAATTAAATTGAATATCGTCTTTTGTGCGATTCTTGGAACTATTTGAACGAATAGCGTTGCAACACCTCTTTAATTTGTTTAGGTGTTTTCACGATTAAATTTTTTTTTCTGTAAAAAAGGTGAGTAAATGATCTGCAAATTTGCACATTAGTTATCAGTTCTAACTTACATCGAATGGTTAACAAATAATGGAGATAAATTTCTTGTTCCTGCGTGTCAAAAGACTCAGTGGAGTCCTTTTAAACATTGATACGTAAAAAGGTATACCTGCAATCGGACCAGAATTAATATGTTGACTTGGTATTAATAAAAATATCGCAAAACTTGAAAAAAATCCATCAGCGAATGATTGATCAAATGAAGCAGACTAACAATTAAAATGATTAATTAACATAATGCATAATTATTATATAAAAAGCTGAATTAATTTTAGAAACTATTTATTTATTGTCTCTATTAGGAAAACTTTTTGCACAGAATTGAACACTGAACATATATTTGCATTTATAGGTAATTGTGTAAAATACCTTTAACAAATGTATTCAAATATAACATGTGATTTTATCTAAACTAGAAATGTGTCCATAGGACACAAGTGCCCCCACACTATGTACATAAGTGCAGTATTTCAAAGAAAACTCTACCCTCTAAAAATCACGCAGTCGATAAAAAGTAGTATTTATTTATCAAAGACCATTTTACAATGTCACAAAATGTTTATAAGATACATATTTTAAATTTCTTAACTGGTAAATGTCATATCGCTGTCTAAAGAGAATACATTTTAATAAAATTTGTCGGCTATCGTGTACTTTGCCTCGCCCAATGCACGATAATGAGAAATTTAATTATACTATCTAAAGAACTTATCATCCATCATTTTTATGATGAAATATTTTCAAAAATTATATATATAGATGAAACACCAGTTCTGTCTTGGAAAGGATAATCGGTCGTCAAGTTCAATTAGTCTGTACCACCAAATTTGAGCATTCCATTTTTACCGAGTGCTAAAGTAAAAACGTCTAGATCAATGCTTAAAAACCTGAAGTCAATATATTTCTAGTCGTGCGTTTCATAATGTCATAAACATAGCGTGCAGACGTACGTCATTTAGGGAAATCTCAAATAAGCATGCATTTTTAGTAATGAAAAGAACATTCTTATTTACCTATTGATCAGCAATATAGTTATTAAGTTAAGAATCTAACATTAAATATCATAATATCATTGAATTTATAACATTTATTTGTTGATATACTGTCATTAACTTGATGTGAATTTACCGTTGTATTATCGATTAAACATTAGCTACGATTTGTCAAAATTTACGCCCATCCGATTTGTTACAAAAAACACCATTCATAAATGAACAATTTCATAAAAATGAACATTTAGATTAAATCTTCCAATTAATGATAAATAAACGGTCAAAAGTCATAGTTTATCTTTCTTATCGTCTGCAGGACCTTTGCATGTTACTTTGACCTTGACCGATGCTGGTGATTATTGTTAATAAACCCTTAAATCCATCCAAGCATACTGAAGATATTCTTCGGACAAAATCTTGGCATTTTATCTTCTCTGGTGACCTTGCTTTTGCATATTATCCTGGAATGCTCTCATATTATCTTTATTTCAAGGCTACATTATTGTCACTACACCTATTTTCATATTTCTGTCTGACCTCTGACTTGGACCGACCTCCATTATGCTCGGGACAAACGTCTCACAATGACTTACATTTGCATGAAATTATCTCAATGCGTGTAGATGTTTTGCTATGGATAGGCCTTTGGATTTGACCTTTGTGATCTTTAACTTTGACCAAAATACCGGTACTTGGTTTATGCGGTTGACACAACGTCTGTAATATGTGTGTTAAAATGCTAAAATCTATATATGCATGTAGAAAATATCGTCCGGGTGAAATTTATCGCTGCCTTGACAATAAATCACCTCTTTGGACCTTGACCTTGCATATATTATACTATTCAGACTCATTTTTTTGGAATTATTAAGTCACATTTTCATACTTTCATTGAAATTTGATCTCTTAGCATGACTTCACCTTGCCTACAAGGACATGAATGAACCACTGTCTTACAATTGCGGACGTTTTTGCTTAGTCATTCAAATCTTTCATTGCTCAGTTCTTGTGCTGAAATTTTAGAATGACCTGTGAAAATGCGAAATTCATTCAGCACCACCCTTTGATTTTTACATGGGATCCGTGTAAAAACATAGACAGAATATTGTCTAATATTTTTAAAATAAAGGAACAATAAAAGTAACATGTTTACCGCAAATATCATTACTTTTCCCTTGGGCCATTTCCTATCTCTTCTGAGGACACATTTCCACACTCCCCGAATCAAATTTATGACATGTGGCACGACTGATATTATTTGTAACATAACGAACATTCTGCATCTTGCATCAAGGTCGAGATTATCATTACTTGCATGCATAGCACTAGACAAAGCTAGCAGTGATATCTTGCTAAACACCAAACACGACCCGAACAAGAGTAGTATAACAAATGATGATATCCATTTTATTGCAACTTCTACACGCGAAGCTTTATGTTGATGATCATATGCTGGCATTGTTTACAAGTTTGGTATACCTGAAATAAAATATTTTTTGACAAGTATTTGAATATCTTTTCGAGAATGTTACTAATTTCAGTATTATACATGTGTACATAACACAATCAAAATCAAGTTATTTACTATCATATCTTCTTATATCTTATAGAGGAAAATTATTCAGATACTTTCAACAAATCAGCATTTTAAGCTTAAATATGATTTGTTTAGGAACGAAATTATTCAAATAACAAATGACAGTCAAATAAATCTTAATTAAATAGGACATACTAATGCTGCATTTAATTAGGTTTAGTAGATTTCAATAATGGGTTGGCCTTGACATTTCATTTCTTGAGTACAGCAATACAAATAATCTTTCAAGTGTCAGATTATATTTAACAATATATATTTAGCATTTAAACTTGTGGTGTCATCCCCTTGTAGCTTTAACAAATATCATTTAACAAGGGAATTCATATATCGGACAATACCAATAGAGTCAATGTCATTATATTATATACGTGATCAAGTTTTCAATAATGATCCAGACATTTGAAGTATACATTGATCTGTCATTAGTTATTTCAAATTTACTGTATTTTTTTACATCCGTTTATAAAAATATGACACATGTTGTTGCTGTATTTCGCAAACAATCACGTGAAGTCTTTTTCAAATTCATTTATTTAGTAGATATGAATGGAAAGGAATAGGTAAGTATTGGTCCTGTGATATTTCAAAGAAGTATCTCTCCGGATTCATGCTTATTTTCATGAAAAAAAATGAAAATGTATTTAAAAGTGAAGTATTGTGAAGTAAACAGAGAAAGCAATTTACAGATTGCAATTGGCACTTACAATACATGATAAATGCCAAAAGAGAAGTAAAAATTCGCAAAAATACCTTAAGCAGTAGAAATATGGTGTTAAATATTGAAAATAAATAATTAATCGCCCATTACATTTAACTTTTAAATTGAATCCAGAAATGTTTGGCTGATCTGGAGGCATGCAGCTTTTATACTATCATATACAAAATATTTATTTGCCATACAACTGCTGATGAGATGCTGATGAGAAAAAGTTCATAAAATATTTGATCACAAAATTGATTTTAAAAAGATAGACAATAAAAAATATACAATATCACGGTAGATCCTATGAATGCATAGCAGTTAAGTTAGAAGGCTAATAGACACTCAGATTTTTTTTGCAAAGGCATAAAGGCAAATAATATAGGGTAAAACATTCGTTTAAAGTTTGCACGATTATAGAGAATCGTGACTAGGAATAATGCAAGCCACCATCCTACTCTTTGCGGAATCTGTCCCTAAAAGTGAGATTTCCTTAACTATACAACAAACACACCAAAACTATATTACATTTCAAATAGTTTTACTTCATTTTCACTCACTATGCAAAGTTAATACGCAATCCTTTCAAAATGTTTTACTACGGTTCGGTGTTTTATATTGCATTTGTCTTAAAAAGAGGGCACAACTCATAGAATAGCTCGATCATTCCGTAGAAGACATTTTGAATAAAATATCATAGAATTCCAGAAAAGTTTGCACAATATATGAGAACAAATTATATAGCACACATTTAAAATTAAATAAGGTGTTCATTGCAATAGTTTTGAGCTATCTACCTTTGACAATGACCTAAAAGAGCAAAAGGTACTCACTTTCAGGGAGAGATATATGAAACCATTAGCTTTTTTTTAGGCCCTAACTGGGTAACCCCATTTATACACCTCGTAATAGTTATGAGAGGGTCGGGGTCATTCCCCTCATACCTTACATTATTTATACATGTATATCACATTGCAACGTTTACAAACAAAATATCATAATATACCTTCATTTCTATCATATCAACACTATAATTAGAGAAGGTATATAAATAGTCTATTTTACACATGTATGCAAGTTATTTGAAAAATCTATTATTTGCAATCTTTCAATTTCAGTGTCAGTCAAGTTGGATTTTTTTGTAAATAAACATAACATAACATAACATAAATTTTATTTAACATAAAATTGTAAACATACAATTTATAGTCAAATCATATTCTGTATAGTGTAAAGTGTTACAAGTTACAATTAGCCGAGAAGTATTGTTAACGAGTATGAACAAATGTTATGATATATGTAACAGAGTTTGCATAAGAAATACCTATACATGTAAGAAACAAATGTACTTAAACAAAGAAGAAAACATATTTGTTAACGTTGCCGAGAAGTATTGTTTACAAATATAAACAAAGGTTACGACATAATTGCATAAAAAATACTTATGCATGTACACAGTAGAACGAGATTTGTTCACGTGCCGAGAATTATTGGTGACAAGTATAAACATAAATACACTTAAATATGTAAGAAGTTAAGTAGAAAGATATTTGTTAACGTTATATCATATCGATATCCACAAATCAAACGGCAATTATAATATTTCTAAGATGACATAACCGTTGTATATGTACTAATCATTTATTGTCGTAGTTATCTCCCATTTACTTGTAATCATAAGAAAAAAAGTATGTTATCGGATATTAAAAATCTTAAGTTATGTCCTCTCTTTAAATGCGTAGTACAGATAACTTGTCAGATTATTAATTGTTTTGATATTTGGCTTGTCATTAGTGTTTCGAATTTCTGCACTGAAGGCCATCTACAAAAATATGGTTCAAAAAACTTTCTACGTAAATTGTAATATTTCGGGCATATTAATAAGAAATGGTATTCTGTCTCTACTAAATTTAATGAACAATTTCGACATTTTCTGTTTTCTCTTGGAATATTATCGTGCCTTCCTTTTTCTATTTCGAGATTATGAGCTGATAGTCTAAATTTGGTTAAAATAATCCTATGGCTATCTTTGTTTATAACGCTTAAATACTTTTCGCACTGAAATTCGTGTTTAAAATGACTGTAAGACGAAAGTCTGTTAGAATTATTAATACTTGAATACCAATTTTGTTTGTAGATATCTGAAATTCTTTGCTTTATGACACATACATTTATATTTAAATTATCTTGTTGTAGCCGAAAGTAAGACATTCCTATTTGGTTCAGTATATTTTTTATCTGATAAGCCCAGTTTTTTTCTCTGTATGATAGCTCATTATCTGCATCTTCCTTAAGCATGTTATACATTTTTTAAGAATTGAGTTATCAGGTGACTTAAGTATTTTAATCCAGTATTTAAACATTATGATTTTACGGTATATTGCCATTGGATATCTCCCTATTTCTCCATATAATGCATCTAGATTTGTTGATTTACGGACACAAAGGATCTTTCGAATAAAATTACAATGTACAAGTTCTATATTTTTACAATCATAGTATCCAAACACTTCTGCACTATAATTTAAGACGGATCCAACTAGTGTATCAAACAGTTTACATTTATCTTGAATCTTTAAATCAAGTTGGTTAAATACTGTAAAAAGGTTATGCATAGAAAATGATGAATGTGGAGCAAGATGCTTTTGTGTCCGATTCCAATGTCCATTTTTAAAGAAATAAACGCCTAAATACTTAAAGCTTTTAACAATGTCTAAGGTCTGACCGTTGAAAATGAAGTTAAACGTTGACTGTCTACCTTGTTCAAATATCATTATTTTAGTTTTAGATGTGTTAACTTTTAGATTCCATGTTTGGCAGTATAAATTCAAATCATTTAACATTGATTGTAATACATTGGGTGTATTGGCAAAAAGAGCTGTATCATCAGCAAAAAGTAGCATAAATAATTTTAATTCATGTACGGTGAAAATTCCATCAATGTTACTATTAATGTTATGAATTATGTCATTAACGAAGAATCAAAATTAAAGTCACCTTGTTTTGCACCTATGTTTGAGGTGAAGTTTGGAGATATCTCTTTTTTAAACCTTACCGCTGATTTAACGCTGCTGTACATGCTTTCAATTGTTTTTTACAAATTTAGAACTAACATTTACCTGGATTAGTTTTTGAAAGATAAACGGACGTTGTAATTTATCAAAGCATTTTTCAAAGTCTACAAAGGCTACGTATAATTTATTTTTATCAGAAAGAGTTTTTACTATTATTGAGTGAAGTATAAATATGCAATCTGTAGTTGATTTTCCTTTTTGGTATCCGTATTGATTATCTATTATAGTTTTATGTTTTATAGTCCATGATGTTAGGCGATTAAGTAATACCTGTGAATATATTGTTATGGATAGACATGTAAACAATTTGACAGTGTGACAAGATATTACCTTTCCTTTACTTGAATTCTGCTCTGTCATTTCCGTGATTTGTGTGGTTGTTTATCAACTATATATCTAACAGTAAACAGTATAAGTATTCAATGATTCGAGTTACAGAAACATTGAAATATCGTTCAGAACTTTGTGAACATGATCCGGGTCGCGAAATAACCTGACAATTGAGCATAGATACTCAACTGACCAAAGAATAACAATAATAACGATCAGATATGTAGAAATATACCTGAACTATTATTCCATTACAATAGATGCAGAAAGTATACACTAGAAGTGTCACTAGAACACAAAGATGTGTATTATTTACATTTTCTAGCTGACGGATTCAGCGGAAATAAGTTCCATATCCGGCCAAATTCCGAGAAAGTACTGTAATGCAACGAAACTACCATAATCATATTTTGGAAAAAGAGTGACTATTATATAAAAATCTGCCGATATTTTATGTCTTTATTATTCTATAAAAGAATAATAACATTTTAGCGGATCCTTGACGGATCTATTTTGTCTGACGGCGTATGAGCCATGACTGTGCTATGTTTAGCGGAACGCTGTGATTGGTTAACTAATTCCGTTGTCGAATCTTATTGGATAAGAGTACTTTTGAATGTTTTAGCGGCGGGCAAATTTCATTTCGGAATTAACACGCCAAAGTCTATAAATACAGACGCTCAATTCAGTTGAGCAGCTTTTCCAACCGTGAAACACGGACTAACAAGGTTATTATTTGAACAGTAGCTCAACCCTAACTAAAAATCCGCCAAACAAC